GGATGAGGAGGAGGAGGAGGAGGAGGAGGAGGAGGAGGAGGAGGAGGAGGAGGAGAGGGTTTGAGCCGCTGGCTGCCCTTCCAGGCCAGCATGGCGTGGTACCCCCGCGGCAGGCGCACCTGGGCAAGGTCCTTGGCGGGCGCGGGCCATCGGGCCCACGTCGATGGGGAATTGGGCGATGCATCTCCACTGGGCGGTTGGGGGTCGATGCATCTCCACCGAGCCTCACCCTAACGCTGCCCCTAATGATCCTTCCCCCCTGACGTTGAGGGCTGAAAGACTTCTGCTGCCCCTCGACTCGCGTTAAAGCTTCCAAAAACTCTTCAAATTTGCCTAGACGCCTCTGGACTTACATAGATGCGGGCAGATGTGTGTTAGGATGTCGGATCAAACGTTTGGACCTACTGGCCCCCAAATCTGTGCGGGCTTCCTCTTATTTGCCAATACGCTTGCTTTGCCCTCGTTCCCTTATCCCGCGACTGCGGTTCGTAGCTTTTCTGGGCCAAGCTGGGGACCGGCCTCAGGAGGCCCTAAGGCCTGGGCCCCGGACGGGGCCCTGAAGACGCGCGAGGCCGCGCCATGGCGCGGCGCGCGGCGCGGCGGGGGCGGCCCCTGCGGGTTCAACATAATCAGAAGGGATGGGCGGGAGGGGCAGGATGTCAGATGAGGCGCGAGCGCACCTAGCGTGCCTTCCGTCCTTCCTCCTACCTCGTCGCTCCCCCCTCCTCGTCCTCATCCTCGTCCTCGTCCTCGTGTTCGTCCTCCTCCTCCTCCTCCTCCTCCTCCTCCTCCTCCTCCTCCTCCTCATCCTCCTCCTCCTCCTCCTCATCATCATCATCATCATCATCATCATCATCATCATCATCATCATCATCATCATCATCATCATCATCATCATCATCATCATCATCATCATCATCATCATCATCATCATCATCATCATCATCATCATCATCATCATCTCAGCATCATCATCATCATCCATCATCATCATCTCATCACATCATCATCATCATCATCATCATCATCATCATCATTCATCATCATCATCATCATCATCATATCATTACCATCATCACCCTCCTCCTCATCCTCCTCCCCCCTCTCTCCTCCTCCTCCTCCTCCTCCTCCCCTCCTCTTCCTCCTCCTCCTATCCTCCTCCTCCTCTCCTCCCTCCTCCTCCTCATCCTCATCCTCATCATCATCCTCTCCTCCTCCTCTCCTCTCCTCTCCTCATCATCATCATCATCATCATCATCATCATCATCATCATCATCATCATCATCATCATCATCATCATCATCATCATCATCATCATCATCATCATCATCCTCATCCTCATCCTCATCCTCATCCTCATCCTCCATCTCATCCCTATGACTCGCCGCTTATCCTCTATCCATATCTGGTCATTCCCTCATACCCCCCACCTCCCACATGCTCCTCCTGCTCCTCCTCATCCTCCTCCTGCTGCTGCTCCTCCTCCTCCTACTACTACTTCTTCTCCTCCCCACCGCGCGAACGGAGACGATGTCGAGATCACGACCGTCTCCAATTCAAACCGCTCGCTGAAATGCCGTTGGGTGTGAACTCGACCTCCTTCCTACCGCGCGGACGAAGACGAGGTCGAGATTACGACCCTTCCTTCTCAGACCACCCGTCGGAATTGCGCTGTTCGTACACTCCGTCCCCATCTTGTAGCACTGCACGGTGGCGGGGTTTGCCGCGGGCAGTTGGATATCCTGATACCTGCCACATATAATGTAATGAGCGCAGCCCCTAAAACAAGGGAAGAGAGGGGGGGAAGGGACAAGGGGGAGGGAGAAGGATGGAGCACGGGAGTCAGTCCTGCATGAATCGCGAAAAAATCTCAAACGATCGCGCGATTCCCGAATAACTCGTGAGGAAGTCCAGAGTCCAGAGCGAGTCCGTGTTTCATGAGTGTCCAGGGCGCGGCGTGCCAAGACGTTGCGAGGAAGTACCACGCAAGAGCGCGAGTCCTGCATAAATTGTGAGGGAATCCTGCGCGAGAGCGCGATTTGAGATAAATTGTCAGAATATCAGGCGGAAGCCGTTGTTGTTGTAAACCCAGGGCCACCGACACAGTCTGAGGCGAAAGACTCCGTGTGAATGTATATATATATATATATATATGCATATATGTATATAACAGAAGAAGGTGCGAGCTCCTGGAGGGGCACGTCAATTGAACACACACGGTGGGCACCAGAGGGGGATCGACAACATGATCAACAAGAACATCAACATCATCACGATTCCCATGCCTATCACATGCGCCATCATCAGCAAGAACATCCTTGCCTTCCTCATCGTCGTCGTGATTCGTCGTTGTCGTCGTTCCCGCCGCAGCCGTCGCCGCCGCCGCCGTCAGCTGCTTTCTTCGTCGTCGGCATCGTCGGCCGTCTCCCCCGCGACGCTGGCCGTCTGTCGTTCGCCGCCGTCGTCACTCCTCGTCGTCGCCGCCGCTGCCGTCCTCGCGGTCGTCCTCCCCGTCGCCGTCGCCGTCGACGGGCCCGATTTCCTGGCAGGCCATTCGCAACGGCGGTCGGACGCCATCCCTCGGGGAGCCGCAAGACTCGGGCTCAGGGGGACTCGGGTCGGCCTGGCGGGGCCGTGTTGCAGAAAGAAAACGAAACCCAATCCGAAATCTGACGCGAGCTCGCGCTGCACACATCCCGCGAAAACCAAACCGTCAGCACTGAAGGGGCCCAGGGACACACAAAGAAGTAGACACAGATCCCAGGATTCCCCACATTCTCCAGGTCTTCTGCATGCTCGTCCTCCCCTCCACTTCCCGTATGTTTCGGCACTCTCCTGGGAATCGACGCTTATGTGTGTGTGCGTTTGCCTGTGCTTTTGTCGCCCCTCCTGGGCAACCAAAAGGGTTCTGGCACCCTCGAGCCTTGCGCTTCCCCGACATTCTCGCGGCGCGCACTGCTCCGCGGCCCGCGCGCCTTGGGCGGGCGGGGCCGGGCGGGGAGGGGCAACGATAGAGGGGGGAACTGGCATACGGTAGGCTAGTGCGGCGTCGGCGCGCGC